TCTGTCTGTCTCATTAAATAGAATCTATGCAAATATCTAGTTAAATTCAAAATAAATGATTACAAATCATCAATTCAGAACAGTTTGCCATTAACATTCATTTTATGGACAGAAAACTCGAACATACATTTTCCACCCCACTTGTGATGAATAAAGAAGTTTTGATAGAACAATGATAAGACGTAGCTGATTTGAAAAACGCGGTGTATTTGGGCTACATATTTCGAACAATCTGGTCATACATACCTGTCGAGGCATTTTATATAAATTTAATAAAAGGTCAATAAAATAACATTTCAAATTAACATAAAATGATAATTGTAAATGAATAAGACAGAAAATTAACATAGCATGGGAAGAATAGGAAATTGTCACATGACCTCAGGTCATTAAATGGCTTAAAGATTACCAAGGTCAGGTCAAGTTTACGACAAATTATTTATTTACACATAAGGGGTTTTGAATTAACGGATAGCCGAGGCTTTTATAAACCTCAGAATTCATCCTTGAACATTCTATATAATGTTTTAAAATCTATATTGATGTCAATCCTATACCCTGTTTCGATCATATGTTTTGCTATCAACGAACATGGTTTTATACTTCGCACGTTCATCGGGTCATCTGACTTTAACTGATTTTGGAGCCACATAGGCACATGTTGCATAACGATTGATTGCAATGTCCAGTTGCTTCTACATTAGTATCTGGGTCCACACAAACATGTAAACTCATAAATGCAATGGGAATCATAGGCTTAGTCTATTCAATCTACCCCTATATCAGACAACATCGCTCGTTCACGTAACCGTTGGTTGGACATATACAACACGTCTCAACCACCTCAGTTGATCAGCATCCACTACTTCACCAATTGATCTACCATCCTTACCTAGTACCCGTTTTCGTAACACCAACATCGCTTACTCAATGTTTCCACGATATACGAGGAATGCTTTGAAGATACCTATGATCGAATACTAGTAACCTACCAATATACACTACTCTAAGTGGCCATGTTACACACCCGTATAGTAGGACGGAGCGAAATGATGCTCAGTAGACTCGACCTTCGGATAGCAGACGGATATCTCGCCAACTCCATAAGTGATGCAGGTTGGCAAAAGCCAATCGAGCACATTGTATACGTGCTCAGATTTCGTCAGATACCAGGCCATCAGCAGTGATGAGACTCACAAAATTAGTAAGGCGGTCAACACGCTCAACTAATTCATTCCCTATCACTAGTTCACCTGCCGATGCAAGCCAATCCTGAAGCAACATTATGCATTTGGAAGGTGACAATCGCATCCCAAACATGCTAGGATTTTTGCTTAAGGTTAAATGAAGACTCTGCACTTTGTCACATTCTTCAACAAGTAGAAACACTGTGGGACGTTTGAATGAGTGTGTTCTGGGTCCTGACGAAGTGTGAATGTCTGGTCTATACATCCACATCTACTTCTGAATCCAACCTGGTTCTCTCAAGTCTGATCTTCACGAGCTCTAGTTAGTCTATAAGGTATTATGGAGTCTAATATTTTATACACAATATTAGTTACCATGATTCCTTTGTGATTGT